TACTCTTTCTTAGCCCAACCCAACCCACCTCACAGAATTGTTATTGTGGAACATAAGAAAAAGAGGAAGTATTATGTATATTTGCCACCTTGAGTTACTTACAAAGTAATAGAGATGGGATAATAAAAATAAAAAAAAATATCTGTTTTGTTATTCAGAGAGAAAATAGCAACTGAGGAGGGGATGTTTGAATACAAAATGGGAGGGAAATAAAAATGGAAGTATGGGAACAGATGTCACTTACATATATCCTCTGTTGCTTCCAGAGGAACTATAGATATATGCAAAGTTTTATCTAACTAACAAGTATCTATGCGGAGGGTACTTTGAAAGTGATCAATTCAGAATATTGATATGAAACATGAACCTATGTGAAATGTCTCTTCCCTAAAATTCACTACCTGATTAATCCACTATGGATCCAGTCCTCAAAATATATTTTGTTTTATGTATAAGTAGTTCTTGACTGACAACAGTTCATTTAGTGAACATTTGAAGTTACAACAGCACTGAAAAAAGTGACTTATTTTTCACATTTATGGCCATTGTAGCATCCCCATGGTCACATGATGAAAATTCAGATGCTTGTCAACTGACTCATATTTATGGCAGTTGCAGTAACCTGGAATCATATGATCACCTTCTAACATGCAAAGCTAATTGGGACGCAAAGATTCACTTAACAGCTATGTTACTAATTTAACAACTGCAGTGAGTCACTTAATAACTGTGGCAAGAAAGGTTGTAAAATGGAGCAAAATTCATTTAACAAAAGTCTCGCATAGCAACAAAATTTTGGGCTCAATTGAAGTCGTAAGTCAAAGGCTACCTGTATGCTACACTTTGATATATCTATAGTATAACTTCAGGGTTCCAAGTAACACCCCCAACAAAAGAAGTGGTTAGGAAATTAAAATTTTTTGGAATGTTTAATATAATTGTATGATTTATATTGTTAAAATATATCCATCTAAGCCTCTTGCGCGAGCTGCACTGGCTCCTGGTGGTCTTCTGGGTGCGCTTCAAGGTGTTGGTTACCACCTTTAAAGCGCTCCATGGCTTAGGACCTGGTTACTTACAGGACCGCATTCTGCCACCGTTTTCCTCCCACCGACCGACACGCTCCCACAGAGAGGGCCTCTTCAGGGTGCCGTCAGCCGAACAATGTCGACTGGCGACCCCCAGGAGAGAGCCTTCTCTGTGGGGGCTCCTGCCCTATGGAATGAATTGCCCTCAGACATATGAAGGATCCCCAACCTCCGCGCCTTCCGTCATGCTCTGAAGACCCTATTATTTCAGCAAGCCGGTCTGACGGGATAAATGATTTTAAATTGGGTTTTAAAAGTGGTTTAAAATGGTTTTAATTGGAAGTTTTAATTTTGGCCAAAGATTGAATTGGTTTAATATGTTTTTTAAATTTTGTCTTGTATGTTGTTTTACCATGGCTGTTCACTGCCCTGAGTCCTTCGGGAGAAGGGCGGTATACAAATATAATAAAAACTAAAACTAAATGAAAGAGAAAATGGATTGATAATTGGTTAGGATATAAGATTTAAGTAACGGTTTTTGGGGATAATGGCATAGTTATATAGATAGATTTGACAAAAATACTTGTTTTAAAATATTTAGTTGTATTAATTGAAAAATAAGATTTGTTAATGATTTGCTTTAATATGTGACCAGAGCAAAAGCTTCCTTTTGAAAAGATGTGTTTTATGTTTTTGTTTTAAAAATAAAAAAAAATTATATATATAAAAAGAAGTGGTTAGGATTCGGTGCTCTCACTGTCATGGCCAGGGTTCATTTCCTGGTCAGAATGCTTTCAGATGCTTTAGAGATGTGAGCAAAAGTATCTATGAGTTTCACTTTCATTTCCTAAGACGTTATCTCCTGATTTCTTTGTTCTAGCCTTCCTTTCTATGGGCATTGGGAGTCCAGCTGATGGACAGGATGCTGAGAACTGCTTTTATTTATGCTTTTGTTTATTTATTTGCTGAAACTTCAATGCTGCTCAGTTTCCATAAGTTTCTGGCAACTTATACCCCACCACCTAAAATTGGGTAAAGAAACCAACAAAAACCAAATCATGTCCTAAGATACCAAAAGTGGACCAATCAAGAGGTTGCTGGGAAAGGCAAACCAACTGCTTTATTGTCCTACCTAGTCAACGTGTTTTCCCATTGCTAACAGCAAGAGGGAGAATGACCAACTTAAACTGAATCCCTGAAGTGGAGGGCAACATTTTCTTGCCCCCACCTGCATCCTTAAGACAAGTTATGTAGATTTATGCATCCTTTAACTGTAAAACAAGAGTGATCTGAGGTCAGATTGTTGGGAAGACGGTTGAAGGAGACCTCTTCCTTCCCAGTGATTATATAAGGAATGGGAAACAAACAAGAATGCCAGGAGGTAAGGCTGGGGTGATTGATCTCTGAAAATAGATTGGTAAAGTATCCACTGAATATGCACCCTCCTCAAAAATGTATCATTTCCTGAAGCTCTTTCCTCTGTAGGTTTCTCTGAGTTTTAGATCAATTCCTGGCAAATAGATGGGGAAGGAATAGTGCAGAATTTATTTTCCTGACTCTAAAATCACCACAGATGGGGATTGCTGCCAAGAAATTAAAAGACGCTTGCTCCTGGGGAGGAAAACTATGGCAAATTTAGACAGCATACTAAAAAGCAGAGACATCACCCTGTCAACAAAAGTGTGTATAGTCAAGGCTATGGTTTTCCCAGTTGCAATGTATGGCTATGAAAGTTGGACCATAAGAAAGGCTGAATGCCAAAGAATTGAGGCCTTTGAACTATGGTGCTGGAGAAGCCTCCTGCGAGTTCCTTGGACTGCAAGGTGATCAAACTGGTCAGTCAACCCTGACTGCTCTTTAGAAGGCCAGATCCTGAAAATGAAATTCAAATACTTTGGCCACCTAATGAGAAGAAAAGACTCACTGGATAAGAGCCTAATGCTGGGAAAGATTGAGGGCAAAAGAAGAAGGGGATGACAGAGAATGAGGTGGCTGGATGAAGTCACCAAAGCAGTAGGCATGAGCTTAAATGGACTCCAGAGGATGGTAGAGGACAGGAAGGCCTAGAAGAACATTGTCCATGGAGTCGTGATGGGTCGGACACGACTTCGCAACTAACAACAAAAAAGTTATAGGAGCCGCAATGGCATAGTGGTTAGAATGTAGTATTTCAGGCTAACTCTGCCCACAGACAGCAGTTCGATCCTGACTGACTCAAGGTTAACTTAAGCCTTCCATTCTTTCAAGATTAGTAAAATGAGGACCCAGATTGTTAGAGGGGGCAATATGCTGACTCTGTAAACCTCTTAGAGAGGGCTGTAAAGCCCCCCTTTTTTCTATGAACCTGTAATCCCTTTTTTATCAAGGTGGGTCAGGGTGACTGAATGGAGCTGAGCATTTACTGGGCAGATACCCTTCCTGATGCCTATATGGAGTTCACAGCATATATTTTCTCTTTGCACCCTGTTAGAGAAACAGCTGTCTCTGTCCAGGATTGAAGTTTCAACCTCCCGAATGTGAGGAAAGCATCTTCACCTCTAGGCCACTGCACCAGTCATAATGTAAAGCACTATGAAGCAGTATATAAATCTAAGTACTATTGCTAGTACTAAATAGATTTAAGAATGAATGTTCACTATTTATGTTCCAAGGAACAATAGATTTGGGATTACATGTAAAAGTAGAAGTAGATGAAGATGAAGAAAGAAATAGAGATATATACATTAAGAATTAAGAATAGACAAATTGCATGCAAAAGATATGGAATTGGATCCCCTATATGCTATTTGCTCTATGATTTTAAGGAATACATTTAAAGACATAATGTTGTAGGTTTATTTTTAAAAAGGATTTCAATCTTACTTGCTTAGGAGTTCCAAAGTTGAATAATGCATGGTTATATTCAGTGTATGGGGGAAGGACAGAGATCAATAGGAAATCATATCCCAATATAAAACTTGTCTTATTTTTCAGGTTCTGCATCCCAAACTTGTTCAAACAGGAAATCTGAAGTCTCTTGTGAAGACATGTCTTCACTCTGTCTGTGTCCCTTTGGTCAATTTGAAAGAGAAGAGGTGTTGCCTGTGGCATGATCAAAACAGTAATCTCAGGTTTCAAAACAAACAATTGTAATGTAGAAAAGAGCTTGTGAGACAGATGAAGAGATGCTGCCTAAGTAATGATCAGATAAGAAACAACATAGCTAGCAGCTGGATAGTTGGAAGGACAAGAGGCTCAGAACTCTCTAGTTTTTGGGGGGATAGCAGGGAGATGGCAGGAGAAATTGATACTTGAAAATACTTATTTATCTTCCCTGTATATGCCTCAATCCTGTACTAACATATCTTTATCCAAGACCTATCATGTTAAAGAATGCTTTTGTACATGAAATTTCCTTTGACTGTTATATTCAAACAACATGCTTATACCAATTACAAAATTAAAAGGAAATGTGTAATTATCCGTGAGGATAATGTGTAATTATCCGTGAGGTTTCCTTGCTTATTCTTTTTAGTGGGATCCATTGTTTTGATCACCAGATCTTTCTTTTATAAATGTGTACTTAATGTTCTATTACTGGGGGCTATCAAATAATTCTATAACTGACATTCTGTCTCCAAACCCTTTTGATTTCAATATAAAATAAAAATTATACAGTGTTTGAGCCATTGATCCCTTAATTATTGCATATTTGATCTTGATCTCAGATAGCTAGTAACTAGTTATTAATAAGAGTGAAAGAGATCAAAGAGATAAAGCTACCATCAGCAATAAAATCTCAAGATTGGATGACTTAAAATTACATTTTATCAGCCGTACATATTTTGTAGAAAGAGATATTGCTGGAAGGAAGATGATTGAAATCACCATCCACAGTGGAAAGCAAAAACAAAAATTAAACTTTTTATTATTACATTAACAACACACAATTGCTTCATTTTAAATAATAGCAAAGGGCACTCTCATTTAAACTCATTCCTTTTTTCTATTCATTAGTTGTTCCCTGTTGTTAAGGTTGGGCTTGAACACAATAATGTAACATTTGGGGAAAAAGATGCAGCCCAGCAAACCAGCACTAGAGGTTAAGATGGAGAAGATCTCCACAGCCACCATGTACTTTCCTTTAGTGCTCAGATAAGTTGGAACAAAGGATATCCAAACACTGCAGAAGACCAACATGCTGAAAGTAATGAACTTGGCTTCATTGAAAGTATCAGGTAACTTCCTAGCCAAGAAAGCAACAATGAAACTAATAAAGGCCAAGAAGCCCATATAAATTAGGACAGAATAGAACATAATCTCAGATCCCTGATTACATTGCAGAATACTTTCTTCAACCATCGAGTGCATGTCTAAATCTGGGAATGGGGGAGATATTGCCAGCCACAACACACAAATGACTGTTTCAATAAGAGAGCAGGAAATGACCATGGAGTTGGCAAGTTTCTTTCCCACAAACATTCTCATTCTGGAACCTGGTTTGGTGGCCAAGAAAGCCAGAACCACTGTGACAGTTTTTGCCAACACTGAAGAAACAGCCATGGAGAAGGAGATGCCAAAAGCAGCTTGTTGGAGAAGACATATCACTTTCTTGGGCCGACCAATAAATAAGAATGTAGAAAGGAAGCAGAGCAGAAGGGAGATGAGGAGAATGTAGGTCAGGTCTCGGTTATTGGCTATAATAATGGGAGTGTTGTGGTTTTTCATAAAGATTACAAGCACCATCACTGATATGAAGGAAAAGAAAAATGCAAAGAAAGCTAAACTGATCCCCAAAGGTTCTCCATAAGACAAAAATATGATAATTTTAGGATTGCAAGTATTCCGATTTCTGCTTGGATAGCTTCCATCTTTACAAGCATGGCATTCATTACTATCTGAAAAAAATGAAGAGGCAGACAATGAGGTCTTCATCATAGGAACCTTTCCAAAACACACTGTACATTTCAGCAATACACAACTAGATACTGTATGTGGCGTGGGATGTAGGGCAACCATCATATATAGTGTATATTCCTTATGCATTTACATATATAATAAATAATATGTAGTAATTATTCACATTTGTATATATAGAACAGTTATATAGATATATTCATAATAATAATATAGCTTATCAGAGAGATTTAACTGAAGAGTCAGTCTAAATCTATTCTCAAACCCTCATTCAATATGGTCACAATACGTGATTCAGATTTCACATATCAAACTGAATGTTGCCCAGATTGACAAGAATCACATTGGATATGATGTTTTCTGGGCATTCACTGAAAAATGTGCTACAGGGCTCAGTTCCTTCTGTAAGGCAACCAGGGAAAGGAACTAACATGGAGCATGGAGGCTATTGGAAGACAATCGAAAGAATAAATTTGGTCAAAGAAAGAAAAATATTTAATTTTGGAGTCCTTTCCATTTCCACCACTCAAAACCACTGAACTGAGGATTTTAAAATTAAATGTACCAGCTTTGGAAAGAAAGACATCTGGATTTAAAATTAATGAATAGATACTGAAGTCCAAGGTGTGCAATTTTGAAATAGATTCCATTGCTGAATTGAAGCAATTGAAAAACAAAATTCAGGTTTATTTAGAATTCTCCTTAAGATTAGATTGCCAGCAGTTTCCTTGATGAATCCAACCAGCACATTTCTTACCTTCCTTGTCTGAAATCTTCCCCTCAGGGCAAGGGGCACAATCATAACAGCAAAAAGGTTCCCCTTCCTTCACCTTCTTGCTAGAACCAGGACGACAACTGTCACTGCATGCTGAAAGAGGCTGGGTCTAATTTATAAATGAGAAAAAACAATGGCAATCTTGAGTGTTTTAATATATCTTTTGAGATATTTTTTATTAATGTTCTCAATTGCAAGCACTTTAATAGGTGCTAGTATTTTTATTTATTGAAAAATTAATAATGTTCACAGAATTTTAGAAACCTTTTTTTCATTTAGGAAGTGCAATGGTCAATTCATTGGTGAAGACTGAAAAACTACATTTTTATTCTGCTATCAGTAAATAGAATAAAAATAAGTTTTACAACACGGTTTTAAAGTTATATGTTTGTATTTACAGGAAGTGAGGAAGAAACTTGAGAAGCCTTTTCTTACTTGAACTATTATAATTACTATTTGTTCACAACAGTGTGAATTCACAATTACCAATTCTTTAGGTGGTGTTGGCCTTAAAATACTTGTTTTATGTCATCAACTTGAATGATGTTTAGGTATTTGTAGTAATCGTCTTTGTCCAGATTCTTGATGTCATTTCCACAGGGCATCTTTATTCCTTTAGTTTTCAATATTTACCCTCTTGAGGATGAGGGTAGCACACTTGCCCAGTACAACCCATATTGCAATATCTTGGGTGAATATATGGAAGTTTTCAGCAGGAATTACATTTCAAATGGTGTTTCTTCATAAGGTTCGGATGATTGCTGTAAAGGAGATGGGCTAGCCTGGGAAAGGTTTTCCATGTTTGATGACCATGGTTTGATTAGTTCAATGTCATTGATGGAAGTTCAGTGACAAACAATAGTGCTGATTGTTAATCTCCTTGAAAGCCTCTTCTCTTAATATTAACCCATATAAACTCAATCTATCACCATTGATCTATAATTCAGAATAGAATAGAATAGAATAGAATAGAATAGAATAGAATAGAATAGAATAGAATAGAATAGAATAGAATAGAATAGAATAGAATAGAATTCTTTATTTGTCCAAGTGTGATTGGATACATAAGCAATTTGTTTTCGGTGCATAAGGTCTCAGTGTACATGTAAGTAACACATGATAAATCATGATCATAATCATAAAATATAAACATCATAAAAGTTTTGTCACATAGTCAGGTAAATATTGAAACATTATTATTATTAAGGTTTATTGCACAGTTAATCAGATGTTCAGATTGGATATGGCATTTTTGTCCACCTATCAAGTCCTTCCCAAGGATCTAGGAAAGGAAGATGTGGATATTTTATGGTGTTACCGATATTGTCACAAGTAAGGTTGTTCCAAGTAAAGTTATCTTTTACAACTGACTAATGTAATTTTGTCAATGCCGATGGTGTTCAAGAGGAAGTCCAGGTGCTTTGGGATTGCACCAAGGTGCCTCTCACTATTGGTACTATCACTGCTTTCCTTTGCTTTGATCATGTGCAGGTCTCTGTATTTTATTGTTTTTTAGGGTTATTGGCATGTGATCAAAGATTTCATGTCTGGTGAAGAAATAGAAGCTTTTCAAAATGCTTTGACTTTGAATCTTACCTGGTTAAACCAGCTGTGCCATGTTATGATATCATCATTAATGGTGAAACTTTGACCGGTGGGAACTCCAGAATCTACCTTCCCAACTTTCACTCTGACAAAGGATTGGTTAGAAAAAACAATCCAGTTCACTACATCCAGACTAGTTAGTAGTTCTCCATTGGAATCAAGAGAAATTGTATCTTCAGCACTGTTATTAAATGAAAGACTTTTCAAGAAGTGATACACCTAGAATAAAAATGGAAAGGCAGAGTTTTAAAAAGATACATTTGAATGTTTGTGGAAAATGTCTAGTAGGCCAAGGAGGAATATGGAACCTATAGCTCAATTGAAATAAAATTTCCTGTTGACAGGAAAAAGGAATGAAAGATGGTTTAGAATATGTTACCAAAGGATGCTCTTGCTATTTACAAGAGCGTTCATTGTAAATTAACTGATTACCTGAGGATATTCTTGCCATTTACCTGCCAGCCAACTTGATTGAGAAGGTGCAAACGCCCTTCATCTATTGTTTTTCTATGTCTGAATCTAGATATCAACATGGCATGTAAAGCATAGGCCACTGCATAGACAGAATTATAGATGCTGTAACTGTGACCAATCATGCTCGTTTCAAAAACAATTTTAGGAAGTTTTTCAATATTCTCTCCCCCATTGCAGAAATTTCCAACCACCTCGTCAAGTAGTGAAGTTTGAAATATACAATTGAAGGCCTGTTGCCAGAAGTCTATGATAAAGCCATCTGCTTTTGGACTAAGAGGATTTCGGCTTTCAAGAAAAGGTTTGAATCCTGGGAGGTTGTTGCTGTGAATTGTGAAAGACAGAGCACCATGGATTATTTGTGTATCCCAGTCTTTTTGATACACAGTTGATGTAAGTTCTGCTTGAGAATTCAATATCCATACTTTTCCTTTTGCTGCATCTCTATCATGTTCTTTGTTTGAAAGATATGGTAACCATCTCAGGAATACCAAGGCATTGGACTCACCATAGATAATCATAACATTGCTTTTAGTTGTCACGATTTTATCATGTAATTTTGCACCTTGTTTAAATACAGAAATAAGTCCATTAACTGAGTGTAGATAAGCAATTCTTTCTATGAATGTAAAGCAAATACAATGCTTAGAAAATAATGGAATGATCCTATCTAGAACTCGTTCTCCATTATCATTGTCCATCACAGTAATGCCAATCCATGTCCAGTTGAAATGGAGGAGTAAAGATAGAATTCCATCACACTGAAGTCTTTCTGTTGGGCTCATTTGGAAGAAGGAAAGACCTGGAGTTTTGTAATTCATGACTGGAGCGGAGCCATAGATGAGCTGAAGCAGATTTAAGGGGAAAAGAGACAGACAGAGAAAAAGACAGAAGGGAGAAAAAAAATCTGTTTTACAGATTTTTTAAAAAAATATTGAAGATCCAGAGAAGTAAAAAATGACGTTGTGCTCCAATACATATACATAGTCTGAAGCTGATATACTCTACCTGTGGAATCTTGTAAATATCCAAGAGATTTGCAATGTCAATGGAGGTTTTGGAGTCTAGTCCCCCAATCACTGCTTTCAGATTATTCTGGATGACACAGATGTAATTAGGAACAAAACCCTTCAAGTTGTAAAGCAGTAACATTGTGGCATGGTAAGTCTTCTGTGCACTGAAGTGACTGTCATAAATGTGGAAACCCAAGGTGACATTTGGTAAGAGATAAGGATTTTCATTAATCTCTTTCACTGCAAATACCAAGGCCAGGATGTGTTGGTAATTCTTCAGCACTAAACTACAATATAAAATAGACTCTGTGAAAATATGCATAGCTTCCCTGAAAGGAACTCAAAGGCACCAAAACAAGCACAGTTCTTCCTCTTCCTTATAATTGCATTTTTATATTCTTCATTTCTCCTTTATGATTATTGGTTTACTTACTCAGAAAATTATATCAATATAAAAATCTGTATTTAGGGTTGCCAGGTCTGCTTCCAAAAAATAGCGGACAAGCGGGAGGGGGGGGGGGTTAGTAGTAAAAAAAAATAATACAATTAAATTATATATTTTCTTACATTTTAACACGTATTAAAATAATCACTTCAAAACTTTACTTAAAATTCAAAACATCAAATATATTATAATAATATGTAAAATATTAAATTACATTTTACTTTGCTGTCATGTGTATTTTTTATTTGACTGCGCAGCTTTGATCAATTCTTTGTGTTTAAGGAATAATTCTTTAATTTCAGTACAACATTGAGAAATATTAAAAAATATACAAAGTTCACTTCGAACTGATGGTACAAGCAGTTGGTTACATTGGTCAGTCCACAAATTTCCCATGACGCTGAAAATTCGTTCAATGTTTGCATTTGATACCAGAATTGATGCACAATACTGGAACAGTTTCAGTAAACTCGGAGCTGGCTCTTTCTTGAAAAAGTACGTCCACTTATCAAGGGATTAATCGCCCTGCAGATGAACATAAACTTCTTCTAAGGCAGAAATTTCATCGAAGAGAGTGTTGGGTGGAAGTTCTTCTTGCCAAGGTGATAATAACCAGATGTTCGTCATTTCTTTTAAAGTTGGAGGATTATTGCGATCAATTAGATTGAAACAATTTAGCATCTCATATACTGAATCGGTGAAATTATACCACTTTTCTAGGTACGCAATGGCTCTTTGATACACGTTGATGGCTTCTTTCTTGAACTTTTGCACAACATTCTCAGGCAAATGTTTTTTACGTAAGGCAAATAAAACTTTCATTCCAAAAAACTGCTCATTGTATTTTTTTTGCAAAGAATCACGCAGCTTACACATGATAATGTGAAGATCACATGCAAGAATTTTCTTGTTTTCCAGCTTCAGTAGGGTGTCTTGCATTATTGACATGAAGAAGTGCGTGAAATATAAATACAATTCTGAAATTGTATTCGTCCTTTGCAAGTTCATTTTCCTGATCCGAAATAAGGTTCCAGATAACCTTATGGCACTCATCAGATCCAAGAGAAATAAAATATGATTTTAGAGGTATCCAGTTTAAAAGAAGTCTTTCGACCGCTTTAAACAAACTTAACCAACATATTGGAACATGGCACAAAACTTCATGGAATTCTGACTCGCAAAACTCAAAAAATGATTTCAACTCTTCTCGTTTCTTCGCAGAATTCGAAAATTCGGCAAAAACCTTCATCACTACATTTTTGATATCAAAAGATAACTGCTTTAATGTATTTTTTGCACTGTTGTGTAAAATGTGATTATTGCAATGAGCAGCTACAATATTGTCATTTTCCAGCAATAATTTTTGGTAAACAGATTTGTTCACTCCATAATTGACCGATGCATTATCTGCTGAGTAAGCTGAAACATTATTTATTTCCAATTCGTTATCATTAAGAACTCGACACAGCTGATTTTTTATTGATGTAGAATCTTCGAAAGAATCCTCATAAAAGTCTAAAATTTTCACACACAGTCCTTCTTCACGAGTAAAATATTGTGCAACAACAGGATACATTTTGCGATTTCCCTTGTTTGATGTGTCAGTGGAGAGAGAAAATGGAATTCCAGTTTTAAGATCATTGAGAACCAACTCAATAGAAAAAGGATACAAAACCTCATTGACAATAGCTGATGATTTGGTTCTTCCACAAGACATCTTTTTTACAATTTCTGAATCATCAAAAATTTGCTTCATTAACTTAATACCGCAGTCTTGAGCCAGGAAAGAAATATGGTGTTTGATCCCATGGTAAGTTTCAGCCATTTCAGCTACAGTCACTTTCTCACTGAAAGAGGAGTCTTTAACAATGAAAAACGAATTGATTCGCTTGTTGCTGGAAGCTGTTTTCTCCTTATCTAAATGATTTTTTGTGCTTGCATGCTGTGTGATAGCTTTTATACCATTATATTCAATTGTGAACGATTTCTGACACAATTTACAGTAGGCCATCATATTTGTTCTGTCGATTTCGTTGTTGGTAATCCATGCAAAAGTAGCTTCCTAGTCTTTGGTGTATTTGCACACTCCTCTCTTTCATTTTAAAGAATTCAAAATCTTGCCGCTGTCACTCTCATCACTCGACGCCATTTTAGGTCAGTCGACACAAGCTACAATACATTTTAAAAATGTGAACTGTACATAATTTTATAATATATTTTTATTTTAATCTCATCATTAATTTTTTCAGAGAATCGAGTTCAATGGATATTCGATCTTTGTCTCATTCTAACTTATGAAAAAAAAAGACAAAACGCAATTCTCCTATCCTTATTCTCTTAGACTGTACAGCTTTAGATTACGTACCATTTCATCATAAAGCTTTTGAATAAAAAAAATGTCCACTATTTTGTGAAAAAAAATAGTGAACTTAATGTGAAAAAAGCGGACTGTCCGCTCAAATAGTGGACACCTGGCAAGGGTATCTGTATTAATTCTCTTTCAATATAATAAAGAAGTAGTCTTATACATAATTTTTTATTAAATAATATATAAAACATAGGATTATATATAAATATATTTATTTATTTTATATATATTTATAATATAAAAAACATAGGATTTTAGGAGGTAAAATGGTATCTCTGAAGAAATAAATATAAGTTTAGAAGAAAAGAATCTGTAAAGAAGAGAAGCAAGTTTTGTCCCACCTAAAAATCTAGAATTCAGGAATGCATGCTAATACTCTGTCTGAATATGCAGAAATCCTTCAGGAGAAAACAACCATATGCTGAATTGGAAAAGTTGATTTTCCAATTCGTAGACTTTATAGACACAATAAATTTTTATCAATCTTCAGTATTCTCTTTTTTGATGATCTATTTACCTGGTAAATTTGCAAGCTTTACAATAATATATGGTTGTACAAGTCAAGGGGCTGACTTTACATCGCTTTGGTCTTTCACAAAGCATTTTCTATAATATGAGTTTACTGAAGTAAGTTTTTTATTTTCTTAACTTTTGATTTTCCCACAGTATTTCTTTTAGTATTTTAAGAAATCAGCAAGCAGTTTCTAAGAAACAAACATGAATGTACAACAAAATTAATTTTCAAAACAAAGAATCAAAACATGGTTTGTCTTAGATTCAAAATAAACATTTTTCTACTTTTTCTTATCAATATGTAAAAAAAAAACCCTATAAGTAACATTACAAAAAGACCTTAATTCTAAATAACCAGTCTAAGATTTAAAATTTTATTGTACAACAAATGCTTTCATGTATGTGTACTGAGTTTTTTTATTAACATTCACTAAAATTAATTTATTCTTTCTTTTAATGTTATATTTTAATTGAGTTATAAATTTAAGAATCCTGTTTATTGTTTTAAATGTATATTAACAGTATGTCTGTAAGATGCCTAGAGTTACCTCTGGTGAGATGGGTCACGTGCATATTTATTAATAAATAAATATATAATAAAATAAATAAATATTCATTCTATATGAAAAAACTAAAATATTTCAGTTAACTTTGATGTTCTAAAGTTTAATTAATACTTATATACATTTTTGTTAATTTTATTATACATATTCTAAATATTAGATAATAATTCTCAATCAATATTAAAAATATTACTACATCAAAATAATATAATGTACAGGCAGTCCTTGACTTATGATCACAATTGAACCCAAAATTTTGTTGTTAAGTGAAATATTTGTTAAGTGAGTTTTGCCCCATTTTATGACCTTTCTTGCCACATGTTAAGTGAATCACTGCATTTGATAAATTACTAACCAGGTTGTTAAGAGAATTTGGTTACCCCATTGTCTTTGCTTGTCAAAAAGTCTCAAAAAATGATCACATAACTTTGGGACGCTGCAATGGTCATAAATACGAACCAGTTGCCAAGCATCTGAATTTTGATCACATGATCATGGGGATGCTACAAGGTCATAATTCTGAAAAATTGTCATAAGTCACTTTTTTTCAGTGCCATTGTAACTTTGAATGATCATAGATGAACTGTTGTAAGTTGAGGACTATCTGTGTTAAGATTTACAGCACATAATAAATTCTTTAAGAAGGATTCAATATATGATTCCATGAGAATTTTCTATAATAAGCTAATTAAACTTATTACATTGCTGGTTTAGGACTTCCAAATCTTCCCAGAAAATATATGAAAGTAAAAGTTCTTACATAAGATCTTCAAGCAATGATGGTGGTGGCTCTTCCGTGAAACTTAAACCATTGTTCAAGAAAATGGCTAGAGTTGCTATGCCACCAATTATAACATCTCCTGATTCACAATATGTATGCTGAGGTTTATTAGGAGTATAAATTTTACATTTCATATTATAAGCGTTGCATGCTTTAAAAGAGAATAGTGCTATGAACAAAAGTATTACCAACTCCATTTTCAATCCAGGTCAAATCTTTCACTGAGATTCTTATTCATCTGACAGAATTTTAATTTACAGATTTTAATCCCAATTGGACCTCTTGTGATTTAAAGAAAATCCCTGCTCTTAGGAATGAGCATTCAAAAAAAGAAAGACCTATTCCAGATCAAGCTAAAAAAATCTAAATCTGTGTTTATTCTTTCTTCACTTCAAATAGATGCATGTATTTTCTCCTTCTTTTGTACTTGGAAACTGAAAATCCAAGGGAGATGGAACCAAAAGGGATATTAATTACAAGTCTTGGAATAATTAAAGAGTATGCTATTGAGCACTTCAATCTCCACAGTATGTGAGGAAAACATGTTGTTTTCAACTTTTAATGAACTCCAACTTTGTAAAAAAAAAAAATTTAAATTAAAAAAAACCAAAAAAAAAAAAAAAAAAAAAAAAAAAAGATGCTGGAAATATCTAGGCCATCCTTAACCAGCATGGCATCTTCCAAGTACATAGACTCCAAGCTTGCAAAATTTCCAGTCATTTACAAATAATCGGAGAAAATTATTCTAATATTACTTGTCTGCATGTGGTCAAATCCAATACTGCATTTTTGGCTTCCATGCACAGTATGTGCCAAAAGGAGGCTTGGGAAGGTAAGTAGAACAGTGAGGGGGAGAACAGTTGTGGCGCACAGTTTAGCTTCTCTAGAAAGCAGGAAATCCTGCTTTCTAGCAAAGCTAAACTGCGCGGCACAGGTGATTGTTGGATCGTAGCTTTTTTAAACTACTGCTTCGACCAAACCGGTACCTAACTACCGGTGCTCCTGAAGCGGTAGCTTTTTAAATGCACAGTGCATGTTTGGTGCATATTGTGCATCCGCATGCAGCCTGCATTTGGTGTACACGGCGCATGCAGCATGGATTATGCATGCAGCGTGCATGGGCAGCCAGCAAACCAGTAGCAAACCGATTCAAATTTCACCCTGATCAGAACTCCCTCACTCTGTGTTTTGGCCTATTGTACAATTTACTGTTCCAACTACTAAATTCAATATCCTAACAGATATATTTGCCACTTTGAACAGATATGTTTGTCATCTCTTCTAACAATTACTGGGGAGGACTGTGACTAGAGCAGGTCTGTAGCTGATATATGAAAAAGTGTTGCCTTATACACCAGGAATTTATGGTTGTTTAGTTGTTTGGGTTTTTTTAAAAAAAAATATATTTTGTGAACCAACCAGGGTTGTGGTTCATAATATTTTCTACAGCTGTCATGTGTTATTAAGAACAGGGACTGAAATTAATTCTCCCATAAAGCAGAAATACATGGTGGCAGCCTTTAGGTTTGGTTGTATTTTTTTCGCCAATTGTTCTGTCCTTTTGTTGAAGCCCAACATGAACAATAGGGAACAACTAATGAAGGGAAAGAAATTGTTATATTAACAAATTATTTTCTTGTACATTATGATGAGGCAGTTGAGAACCTTCAGGAGGGTTCTTTCAACACTTAGCAGCACATATGAAAGTTTTCTATCAGTAAGGTCGCATAGTTGCTTTGGAAAACATATGCACATTGCTTTCTGTTTGCTTGTGCATGATTAGGACCTTCATCTTGCTTTGCAAAATGCAGAGAAAAGTGAGTGTTCTTGCACAAAGATAATGTGAAAGTCTTCAGAAGCTTGGGAACTCTCAGTAGTTTATGGATCTACATATACTGAAAATAATAACAAGCTCTATCAAAACAAAGTTAATGGGAAAAATAATATTGGGTAAAAAAAAACATTTACTATCCCCCTATCCAGATTTATCTGCAATCTTGAATTTGATATTATCTGTTGATATCAGATTTTTATGGCTGAAATAGTTACCTATTACATATGTATGTCTGTAGCCCAATATCAATCATATTCACTTTGTGCCATTAAAGAAACTGAATCTTAAAAACCTAGATTACATTTATTTCCCCAGAATTTAGTGGGTTAATAGATCAATTGACAAGGTGAACAAAAGTGTGTGGCTGATGCAACCTGGAATTCCTTTCTCAAAGGGATGTGATAGTTAAGTAAATGTTGAATGATAAAACTGAAATTCTAATTTTTCTAAATACGTTTTATGCTGTGATAATCTCAAAGGATATTTCTGTCAATGAAAATTGAAATATATTAATATACTTGAAATAATTTAATAAAGTACTGTTTTACTTCCTTCTTTTATTTGAGCTGAGTTTTTCTGTCCTTTTGTACGTAATTTGTTTTATCTTATTATATGTGTATGTAAATATGTATAACTCAGCTCTCAGCAAAGCAGTCTTATAGCTATCTGTGTTGATAAATTGGCCTGTTTTTGTTTTCTACTTAACTAATTATAAATAATTTACATGGTATTGTCATCAATCTACAATCCTGAAACAACCGATTCATGTGAGAGACAAAGAGTAGTTGAAAGTAGAGCCTGATCTTGTAACTAAGATCTTTGTTCACCTCACAAGAAAACATGCATCGTTCCTTCAAAATACTTTAATGCCCATTCCAAGACTGACATGACGGATTCTAAAAATATTTTTAAAAATGATCTTCTGACAGGATCATTGGTAACTATGCAGAAGTTGCTCACTTATGCCTTTCAGATGCTGTAACTTTAATTTTAATATTAAATAGTCCTATCTTTTATCAATAATTTCATGTCTCCACTTGTTTTAATAAAACCCATATGTTCCTTATTGATATTATAGAGTTCCTTATTGAACTCTAAGAATACATGAAAGAAAAGAAATTGTTTATATTAATAAATATCAAACAATGCTCTGTACAATGACAAAGCTGGCCAGTATTGAAAGCAGCACAACATCTCATTCAAAGATGACCAGAAGACTTGAATTTTAGGGAACAGGGACTTTGGGTCTGTGTGAAAGCAGAGACCATCAGATCTGTAGTTCATTCATATGATATATATGCTATGATACTATCTAAATATTAGAATCACATTCATGATCATGCAGGATAGCAATATTACAGTAACATCCTCCTAGAACAACATGTTGTTCAACAGAACAACAAATTCTGCATCCAACCTCTCTAGAGAGCACAAACTTGAGGGAAGATTGCCTTTGGTATTTTTTAAAAAAATAATCTCATTCATTTTCAGTGTTTTCTTTTCAAAAGAGATAGAAACATTTTTTTTTCTATCAATCAAAACATCTTTCCTCCAATTCTATTGGGATCCATAAAGTAATTGCATACCTATCTAATTTTGAAAGAATGGTAGTTAGTTCGTTTATGTTCAACCCGATACAAAATTTCAGTGTCCAAAAATAAAACATGAATAATATTATAAATATTGCAACTTTTTTCATGTTAGGGAGAATAAAAACCACTACAATTATACAACATAGTTTGTGGAGGCTTCTTACTCTTTTCCAAGGTTTGTTCTATAATCACCTTTTGTTACTAGAATACTAATATCATCAAAGAAGCAAGAATAATTTAGATGTAAGGGAAAGATTTGGCTTTCTCCAACAATGTTAGCTTTAATAGTTGTCTCACTAGCATTATTTAATCCCCTACTTTCTAATTCACATAGTATCAAATGTAGAGTTCAAAGTCCTCATGGTCCATATCATACGTACTATCAGTCAGGAGATGTCATTGTGGGTGGCATTGTCACTCTAGCTGCTTTCCTGCATGCTACTCTAGAGTTTAGCAAAGTCCCACCACCACCATTGCCTGAAGAGCTTATGTAAGGATTTTATGCTTAGTTCTATGTATTCTAACTATATAAGCTGCTATTAGATCATAACTCAATTAGTCTACTCTGTTTAGTTGTATCAAAGCATTGGATATTTTTAAATTTTTACTATTTCTATTTACTATTTACCAGTTAACCAAAGTTTAATTATAAGTCTGGGCCAGAATATTAAGGAAAAAACTCCATTGAAATCTTTATTTTTCTATATAGATATGCCTGGCAAAGTTTAATAGTCTGCATTTTTTCTGAGAATTTTACACATTCTTCCTTGTGGTTTTCTTAATTTTGATTTATATACCATTGAGATAATTGTAATAAAATGTGGAATTTGTTCATACTTTAATGATGTTTATAGCTGTTCCTAAGATACATTATAAATATATTATTCTACATCTAAGAACCGCAGAGTGATTTCTAAAAATAAAGGAAGAACACAAATACATGGATGACGTAGATATTTTAAAAGTTGATGTTTTGCATAAATAAGTAGACATGTACAAAGTACTATTTCTAAGTTTCCATATATATGAAATAATTACTTTATGAAAGCTTCACTGCTTTAGTTTCACATACATATTAATAACAATAAATATTCTAAGACATGAATTGCAATAATTAGTACTTTTATATTTTAAAAAATCTTTTAAATATTTATTCAACATTGAACTTTTTTCTATTTCAGATTAGTACCTAAATATTACCAAAATATTGTGGCCCTGGCATTTGCAGTCCAGGAGATGAATCAAAACTCAGAGATCTTATCCAATGTCACTCTTGGTTTCAACATCTATGACAGTCACTGCAGTGCACGGAAAACATACCATGCCACAATGTTACTGATTTACAACCTGAAGAGCTTTTTTCTTAATTACATCTGTGTTATCCAGAGTCATCTGACTTCAATCATTGGAGGACTAGATGCCAAAACTTCCACTGACATTGCAAATCTCTTGGATATCTATAAGATCCCACAGGTAAAATTCAAAGTTATCAGAAGATACCTGACTTTTTAGAACTTCTAGATTTCATTTGGTAGATTAGAGGTAGAAATTGGGATTCTTCTAAATAACAGCATACCTTGTGTACTTCTTCTCTGTTAAAATCTTTTTACCTAACTTTTGTAAAAAGAAGGACAATGACAAGCTAGAGAATCTTAACCGTAGAAAAGAAACTATAGTATGAATGAAAAATATGCAATCTGATTAAATG